GATGGATGAACTGATGGATGGATGGATGGATGGATGAATGGACGGACGGATGGATGGGTGGATGGACAGACAGAAACTGATGATTGGATGGATGGATTAACGGGTGAGTGGATTGATGGATAGGTGAACTGACATATGGTAGGGTGAACAAAGTAAATATAAACTGGTAAATGGGATGGATGGATGGATGGATGGATGAATGGATGGATGGATAAACTATAGGATGGATGGACGGGTGGATGAATGGACGGAGAGAAACTTATAATTTGTATGGATGGATTTTCTGATGAGTGGATTGATGAATAGGTGAACTGATATATGGTTGAGTGACCAAAATGAATACATAAACTGGTAAATGGGATGGATAGATGAACCGATGGATGGATAGATGGATGAACTAATGGATGGATGTTTGGTTGAAAAAAAGTTAATGATCTGGTGGATAAATGGATGCATGGATAGATATATGAACTGATGGATGGATGGATAAATTATGGATAGATAGATTAACTGATAGATGGATGGATGGATAGATATATAAATATATAGAATATATGATTAAATAAATTGAATAATGGACAGATAGTCATAAAAACTGATCAATTGATGAACTGATAGATGGGAGATGGAATGATGGATAGATGGATGGACTGATTAAAGAAAAAATGTATTCCCCCCCCCATTTTTTGAATGAAATGTATCCTTGTATTCGCTTTTAAGTATAAAGCAAACTGTAAATTAATTTAGAAAGGTGTGTTATACATGTGCAATCCTCCATAATTGGATTTCTTTCCCCAGCCTAATCCCTGCAGAATGTTTTTTAAGGTAATTTGCAGACGAGCAAACAGTAGTATATCTTCAAACTGTAATTAATTTCTTCTCTAAACACTCATAAATGCTGTTAAACCCCACAGAGACTCTGTAACCACACAACCTGTTAACCGTTGGCTTATCATTGCTTTGACAGCAGATGCAAGAAACAGTGTTGAATTCACCTGATTAATTAGCATGACATTTGTGAGCAGGTTAACCTTCTTTTATTATAAACATGTTTGCCGCAGATGAGGAGGAAGTCCTTTCGAACCGAGATGTTTAATTAGCGATTCATTTGATGAAGCCATGTAAGCAGGGTAATTATCTCGCTATCAGCAATTATTCCATCATGCGATACAGCATCTTTGTGTTAGGATTTCAAGATGGTTCTAGTCACTCATCACAAAGCCTTGTTTTACTAAAATACCTCTGAGTGGATCATTTATGCTTTCAGCTCAAAGATGTAATGCGTCCATTTGGAGGTTGTTTTCTGGCGACAATTACTGTTATGCATTGTATGAGGAAATGATGTGGCCACTATCAACAATAGAGCTTGTCATGGGGACGTTTTTGAAATCTTTGTTCTTTGGATTGCATGTGTTTCAGCTCTTAGGTGGTTCTTGAAGTGCACAGTTGAATACCACAGTTTTCGTGTCTATTTTTACATTTCTTATGTATAGTATGTGGGTTGATTTGACGCATATACAACCAAATGATGTGTATCTGTCTTTGGGTCTGACTGGCAGCAGTTTTAACATTAAAGCAAATGTTGATGTATTCTGCTAGCTGTCAGAGAGCATCTCTCGCTTTCTCTTTCTCTCTCTCTCTCTCTCTCTCTCTCTCTCTCTCTCTCTCTCTCTCTCTCTCTCTCTCACTCACTCTCTCTCTCTGTCTCCCTCTCTCTCTTCATTAGGAGAGATAGCATCCTTTAGTGTCATGCTGTTGGAGGTGTGAGGTGAGGAGTTGGTCACATTGGCAGGACATTTGTGTGTTTGTTAGTCTGCTTTTGTGTGGGTGAGGGTGTCCGATGTCTGCATTGGTTAGGAAGGCTGCTTTTCATGTTTTTGACCTCTTAAAAAACATAAATAAATAAATAAAAGACAGTTTGCTAGTTCATGCGTTAAAGTTGTCTAGTAATATATGAATCAAGGTCAGTGACTCTCCTACCCTAAAGCTTTATATTTCTCTCCCCACTCTTACTGCTTTTCTCCCTCCATCACTGTTGTTTGACAGCTCTGTAGAGACAGGAATACAGCGTAGTTATGATTGAAGAGATGGCCCTCTGTCAGCATAGGTTTGATCTTGACGTTTCTTTTCTTAAGAAAATGTCAGCATTCTACATCTGTGCATAAATGAGTTTGCAGAGTGTTTTAGCATAGATTAATATTTAGATGTTGATGTGGAAAAAAGCGTTTGTATACAGTGCTCACCATAATTGAGTAAACCTCGTTTTGAAAAATTTATATTTTTCTCCATTTCTCAGTGAACATAGGCAAAGTATTTTGGTGTATTTAAACAAAACAGATTTAATAAACATTTTTTTTTCAAATTATATTTTAGTCACAAACATATTTTGAAATTTAAAGATAATACAAGTAAATTCAAGCAAAATATTGCAAAAAAATACAACCTACAATATTTTTCCTTTTTTTTTCTTTTTTTTTTTCTTTTTTTTGCTTTTCTTGATTTTCCCTCTTTTTAAAAAAAATTGTGTTTTATATTTTTCTATAACATGTCAATTTTAAGGTAAGGGTAATTAGGCAAGTTATTGAATAACGATGGTTTGTTCTCTAGACTATCAAAAAAAATATATATAGCTTAAAGGTGGCTAATAATATTGACCTTAAAATGGCTTTTAAAAAAATTAAAAACGGCTTTTGTTCTAGCCGAAATAAAACAAATAAGACGTTCTCCAGAAGAAAAACACATTATCAGACATACTGTCAAATTTTCTTGCTCTGTTAAACATCATTTGGGAAATATAAAAAAAGTAAATAAATAAATTCAAATGGGCCAATAATTAACTGTATATACATTCATAAAGCACTGCTTTTTGCTTTAATAACCAATATATGATTAGACTAAACAAATATCATGGATTTTTAAGATTGCTACTAGGGGTGTCAAAATGCATTGTTTTTATCGTGCATCATGATGGACACGAGGACAATTCAGTATTGTTTTAGTAATAGACCCAGTTTTGTAATATCTAGTTGTGATTTACAGGTGTTTTTATGATGCAATTTGTCACAGTAGCATTTTAAAAGGTATGGCAGGTGAGACAATTTGTGACAATTTGTGACTTAATATTTGTGACTTTGTATTTAATGACAAAACTGTATAAAGGAAAACTGACTGCACAAATTGATGCAGTACAGTTGAAGTCAGAATTATTAGCCTCCATTTGATTTTTTTTTTCTTTTTAAAATATTTCCTAAATGATGTTTATTGTTATACAAAGCAGGGACATTTTTATATTATTTCTTCTGGAGAAAGTCTTATTTGTTTTATTTCAGCTAAAATAAAAGAAAGTTTTAAATTTTTAAAAAAACATTTTAAGGACTAATTATCAGCCCCTTTAAGCTATATTGTGTTTCGATAGTCTACAGAACAAACCATCGTTATACAATAAGTTGCCTAATCCCCCTGACCTGTCTAGTTAACCTAATTAACCTAGTTAAGCCTTTAAATGCCATTTTAAGCTGTATAGAAGTGTCTTGGAAAATATCAAGTAAAATATGATTTACTGTCATTATGGCGAAGATAAAATAAATAAGCTATTAGAAATGAGTTATTAAAACTATAATGTTTAGAAGTGTGTTAAAGAAATCTTCTCTCCGTTAAACAGAAATTGGGAAAAAATAAATGGGGGCTAATAATTCTGACTTCAACTGTATATTTTCAGTGCATCTTGATGCATCATGATATCAAATGGATGCTATGTCTTAACCATTGTACTGTCGATTTTATACTCATTTGCTATATTATGGCTTACTTTTTTCTACTTATCATGATCGCTTGTTACATCACTTTAAACTAGGGGTTATATTCACTATCAGTTGGAGCTTTAACCAGTAATTGGCCTGAAAAGACATTCATTGAAGATCTGTCATTTTGCTTTAATATGTTGCGGTAATAAACACTTGTGGCATCACCCTTTTAAATAAAGCTGTAATGAGCATAAACAAAATAATATCTGTGCTTTTGTCTGCTAGGGCATTCATGATGCTGGCTAGAGTGTTGTTACATGGTACATGGATTGTTCTTAATGACTGATTGGAGGATGCTTGAGTACTGTATTCTGGTTTATTTGAACCTCTAATAAAGTAGCAAAATCCTTTTTATGCAAGCGAGCCCTCACATAAAAGCCTGTGTTATGCCATTTACGGCCTGACAAGTGTGGCATATTAAATGCATGTACAGCACATTTCATTTCACACAAGAGCAGCAACAGCAGCCAAGTTAAGAATTGGCTCTTTCCAATCGTAATGTGAAAAGCTCCATAAAGCAATGATGTTTTGTGTTGGGTAAAAGGGCAGCATTATTCAAAGGTGAGAAAAACCACGTCAATTAAATTGTTGTGCGACTTTGACACACACCCTATACAAGCTAAAGTGAAAGTGACAAGGCTTGGCTTAAAATCACTTTATTTTTCTAGCCTCATGTTTTTTGCATGACACATAGCACCTTTTGCCCCACATAATGTCTAAGATTAAGTGATTTGATGAGGTCTCTAGAGGAAGAGCCATGCCATTAATCGAATAATTGATCGCACATCCATTTGCAGCTTTCTAATTGGCTTCTGAATGCTCGTGAGCCCCGGATTTAATACCCAGGTGTTTCAGTTCTCTCTGAGGAGTCTGCAGTCTGACCTCCAGTTATTGAGAAAAGCGCTGAAGTGTTTGCGTTTAGTTGTTACTGTCAAACTGCAAGAGCCCGTGTCATTCAGCCCTGCCACAGCCTTTTCACTGCGTCTGCCGTATTCTGTGGTAAATCAGATAAGAGCTTTTGTAACATCTGTCATATTGTTACAAATGCCAATCATAGAGGAGGTGGACGCCTCATGAATAAACCCACCTGTTGAATTATGGATGTCGAGGAGTGAATCGTGATACATTCTTGCCTTCTCTCTGTGTGTGTGGTGACTAATGCTCTCTTTCTCGTCGCTCTTCTCTCTCTCTCCCTAGGCCTTTTCCATCAGAGGACACTGCACTGAATGAAGATGATGTGTACCGGAGCTTGGAGGAGCTGGCAGAGTAAGTGTTTAAATCATAGAAAGTGAGATTAATGGCCATTAGCATAAAACAAGGTGGGTTTAAGCCAAATTGTTTGGGACTGAAGGGTTTACATAATCATTCTGCCATTTTAACCATTTAAGGTGTATTTGAGGTCAGTGTCTCTTACAGTTACAGTTATAGGTGCATTATTTTGAGATCATTTTGTGGTGGTAAAGCTTAGTAATGTTCTCAGTGTTGATTGGTGTTTGAACACATTTGTTTATGATTACTGCAGGGGATTAGAGATTTCTGCTATGTATTTTCTCATGTATGTCAGCACTAATCCTTGGAATTAATATGATTAAAATGTTACATTTTAGTTTGTAAATGTCATCAGTAAGACAAAATGTTGTGAGATTTTTATACATGTGTCTAACAAATGCTTTAGCTTTGTGCTCATTTGAGGACTACTACATTGCAATTCATAGATTGCCATATTGAAAAACATGGTGCCGCATGGTGCACTGTAAAAAAAATTAAGTCATTACAACAACAACAAAAAAACATAATACTCATTTTCTTTCGCTTTTTCTTGTTCACTCAACTTTTGAAAAGATCAGCTGCACTGACCATTTAATTAAAACATTTAGTTGGGTTAACATGTTGTGAACTACTCTCCTACTCTCTTACAAAACTTTTTATATTGTGCCAACTGATATTTTTTGTCTACAGAACTTTAATGCCTGAAGTTTTGTGAAACAAAAAAAGCATAATCCTTATTTCTTTTTGTTTTTTCTCGTTCACTCAACATTTTTTGTTCTATTATTTTTACACCATTAATTGATAGGATGGTAGAAAGTAAAGACAGGAAAGTGTGGGGACGAAGAGAGGGGAAGATCGGCATAGGACCTCGAGGTAGGAATCGAACTTGGGTCGCTGTGAAGTGAAGTGCTATGTGTCAACACACTAACCTACACCATTGGCACCAACGTGTACTTTTGAAAACATCTGAAGTTGAGTAAAAAAAAAAAAAAACTCTTGGCACTTTATACTAGGAAATAATACATTGTCAGATCAAACAGTTCAGTTGAAAAAAAAAACTATAACAAAACGTTAACAAAATATTTATTAGACAGAATTAGAAACAGGACACCCGGTAAAACAACAATAATGGTAAACAAGGATCAAAACATTGCAGGACAAACAGGGAAAAATGCTTTGTGATGCTTCACATGTGAATCATGCCTTCCTGTTTTTTAATTGTTTAATTTTTTTAACTGTTGTCAGCTTCAGACATTGGGTCGACACATTTCACTACAGTCTTCACAGTGACCTGAGTTCAAATCCTGCTTAAGGTTCCATGCCGATCTTTCCTCTCTCCTCTCCCCACGTTTTCTTGTCTATACTCTATTGTTTTATCAATTAAAGGTAAAAAATAAATAAATAAATAAATAAAAAATAAAAATAAATGTTGAGCACACAAGAAAAAACTAAAGGAAATAAGGATTGTTTTTTTGTTGTTGTACTGACTTAAAACTTTTTACAGTGTGGCTATAGGTAAGCACACACGTATGCTCCAGAGTAAGCCTTTGCGCAGTCGCAGCTGACACGCAACTCTCTAATATGTTACTACAAGTCGCAACAATGCATAGTGCAAGCTCTGTGATTGGTCGGCTTGGTAGCTGTGGCCAGTGTGGGCAGGACTGAGAGCCATGCGAACCAGTTGGAGTGAGTGTTCAGTGTCGAGTCACGTAAAGTAGCTCTAGATAGAAACTGTTGTTTTGTGTTTACCTTATAACTATGTTGTCGCACGTCTGTCGGTTTCCACCTCACAATGAGCAAGTTTTAAATACTTTTACATTCAGGTAACCCACAAAGAAACATGACACAGAGGAACATAAAAACTTGCTGCCAGCTCACGTTTTGGAAGTGTTATTGCAGAGCAACACAAACAGCACGCAGAAGTATAAATGCATGACTACGCGCAAGGCAGGCGCTATGGGTCACGCCGATGACTTGATGCAGAAGTATAAACCAGCCTTTAGTGGTTAGCACTGTCACCTCATAGCAAGAAGGTTGCTGGTTTGAGTCCCGGCTGGGCCAGTGGAGTTTGCATGTTCTTGTGGGTTTCCGTGGGTTTGCTCCAAGTGCTCTGGTTTTCCCCATAGTCTAAAGACATGCGGTATAAATAAATAAGAGTGTATGGGTGTTTTCCAGCACTAGGTTGCGGCTGGAAGGCCATCTGCTGCTTAAAACATATGTCAGGTAAGTTGGTGGTTCATTCTGCTGTGGCAACCCCTAATAAATAAGGGACTAAGCCGAAGGAAAATGAATGAATGAATGAATGAATGAATGAATGAATGAATGAAAAAGTTTAAGGTAGCAATAGCAATGTCCTATTTCAGACTTAGCATTCCAGTCATGCTACTTGAGATTCTCTGACCTCCACCTGAAGATACCCAGTGGACCACTGCTTTAGTCAGTGCCATCTCTGAACCTGTCAAATGACAATGTCAGTGAATCTGCACAGACTTTCTGAAAGTTAGATGTCCTACTGTGCTGTTCCGGTGGTTATTTTCAACTGTCAGTTGTGAAAAGTCCAAGTTCTATGGAGTGAAGAATTAATTAGTAAAGTATATAATTGGTACAAATAGACAGGCAGTAAACCTTAAGGTTCCCATGGCTTGAAGCATGGCAAGCTGGTATTATGGGTGCTAAGAAGAGTGAGAGAGAGGCTGAGGGGAGGGGGTTGTGACAGTGGTGACAGGCCCGATTCCTCTCTGATTAATTGTGAATAATTAGGCAGCAGGGTGGATAGGTGTCATTCATCAGCAGAGGACGACCTGACAGAGATGTGTTAGTGCAGGCTGCATATATTAAACCTCTCAATGTCTGTTAGAAACTTCTGTGGAGCTGTAAATAGAGATGAGCTTATTTTACAGCCCTAATGGCCTCAATTTATTAGCATACCAAAGAAACATAGCTTGTGTACGTGTTGTTTTGAGCCATTTTAAAGTGAGGGTAGGCTATGTTTAATTCAGCACAAACAAAAATAAGGCCATGGGGAACCAGAGTGCAGTCTGTCAGTGTCATTCCATCTTAAAGTCTTGGGCAATGCCTTATTGTCACTGCTATGTTTTGTTGGAGGGTTTTTACTGGGCATTACAACATGACTGTGGAGGGGGATCAGGAAATGAGGTAGGCTAAATTTGAACAGGACTAAAGATTAGAGACTAGAGAATAGAGAATAAAGACTACAACAATGTACAGTTAGAAACAGAACTATTAGCCCACTTTTGATTTTTTTTTTTTCTTTTCAAATATTTCCCAAATGATGTTTAACAGAGCAATGAAATGTTCACAGTACGTCTGATAATTTTTTTTTTTTCCTCTGGAGGAAGTTTTATTCCTATAAGTCTTAAATTTGTTTTATTTCAGCTAGAATAAAAGCAGTTTTTATTTTTTTTAAAAACAATTTTAATGTCAAAATTTTTAGCCCCTTTAATATATATTTTATTCTGTTATACAATAACTTGCCTAATTACCCTAACCTGCCTAGTTAACCTAATTAACCTTATTAAGCCTTCAAATGTGACTTTCAGCTGAATAAAAGAGTCTTGAAATATATCTAGTAAAATAGTATTTACCGTCATCATGACAAAGATAAAATAAATCAGTTATTAGAAATGAGTTTTTAAAACTATTATGTTTAGAAATGTGTTGACCAAATCTTCTCTCCGTTAAACAGAAATTGGGGGAAAATAAACGGGTGCTGATAATTCAGGGGGGCTAATCATTCTGACTTCAACTGTACATATGTAGCTATCAATAGATATAACTGCTTTGATATTTGCGTAAATGTTTGCAACTGTAACTTGTTTTTCCTTTATTTCAATGAAAAAAAAAATAGTTGCAGGTCATACTACTGTTTCACCAACACTAATGCCTCAAAAGCACCAGAAATGCAGTTTCTATTTCCTGTTTCTATAAGATTTGGTTATATTAGATTTAACTTAATTGACATTACATATGTAATATTACAAGGCAACAAAATACAGTTTAGGTCTAACCAGGGGCACAATAGCAGCAAATACAGATAAATGTATCATGAATATTATAAACAGGTTGTAATACAGTAGCTATGATCAGGGATTTACAATGATTGAATACATGTGCAGATATGTACAATTCAAGATCTGTTTGTGATTTACACGCTTGTGAAGGTAAAAAAATAATATCTAAAACATTTTTAATAATAATAGTAATTTTTATCAGGTTATCAAGTTAATAATTCTCTTTGCATCAATTAATCTATTTTGTAGAATGCTGTTTTTATGGGGACTTTGTGATGATAAATCTATCTCTGAATAGGGTCTATTGCTGCAGGGTGTCAGCAGGGTCTTAAAATGTCTTAAAACTCAAAAACAAAACTTAAGGCCTTAAAAAGTCTTAAATTTGCTGAAACATTAGGTTTTAGGTCTTAAATCTTTTTTAAACAGGTCTTAATTTTTCTTTATTCATGCATCATGCACTCAATCTGGCCATCACTATCATTCCACCTGAATAAAACTTTAAACTTTTTTTTAAATGTTATTTTTAACTATTTTTAACTATTTTTAACTGTTTTAAGTATTTTCATTACAATACCATTTGTTTAAAAGTTCTCGATGTATTTACTGCTGAAGACACTGACCTGGACAGATATTTGTGCATATATTTAGTTTATTATTGCTTTAAAAATGTTTTAAATCTTTTATTTTAAAGTAAGGTTATGCTAAAAACAAGTATGTGTGTATATCTTAAACATTCAACTTGATTAATAATCATAAAGACATAAGAAAGGATATGTGTTACTCCATCCATCAGAAAATACACACCATAGACATGTACAGTTGGAGAACATATTAAAGTAAAGATTGTTTTTTAATGTGTTATTTCCAAAAATTCCTCGTCTGTCATCTAACTATATAATTTTACTTTAATGACTTACATCAGCGTAAATTCACAAAACATCAGTTTTCAATCCATTATCCAAATAT